ATTCCGACCACGAATGTGCTAGCGCCGACGCTGAATTCACCCTCCTTGGAGTTCTAATCGAATCACCCTTTGTATAATTTGTTCCATCTGCGGCCCCAGGTGGTCTCGACCTCCATGGCCCTGGAGCCCAAAAACGGCCGAGAGCAAGGAAAAGCGCCAGGACTGAACCAATCTGTTCTTCGGACGTCAGGACGTCTGAGTGGGAGTCGGTGCCCCCCTTCCCTCCCCCTTGGCATATGGGAACACAGAACGACACAAATACAAAACTCTGAGGTCCGCGCGGATTCCTCGGATCGGCGCTGGGGGCCCCAGGCGGCCGCGCGCCAGGGAGGGAGGTGCAGCGCCGACCCGAGAGATCCGCGCGGACCTCCGAGTTGTTATGTTCATGTAAGACGGAGCCAGGACGAAGATAACATCAAGTAAGGATAAGCCCGCAATCTCTGAGATCTGGCGGCTCTGGAGGATGTCTCGGGTGCTGCGGCCTCCTCAGAGCGATCCCGAGCGCTCTCAGAGTGTTCCGGAAAGCTCTGGGAAGGTTTTCTCTTCGTCCCGGCCCCGCCCGGCTATGTCATTGTCCGTTCCCCTACAGTAATCCACTCCTCCTCGTCAGCGCCCCCGAGACAGGCCCGGGGGGGGGGGCCTGGCCGCCACCGGAGCCCGCCGGCATCGGCGGGGGCAAGGCCTCCCTGTCAAGCTCGAGGTTGCCCAATCTGCGCAGGACCTGGTGGCCACGCGCTGGCCGGCCCAGGAGCAGGGAAGCAAGCAACAGCGCGTGGAGTCCTGGGTGCACAGCGGTGACGATGTCCGCATCCGCGCCCTCGCGGTCTGGATTCGGGGGCGCGATCCCGCGGATACTCCCTCGCACTTGAGAAAGCGTGCGATCAGCGCAACTTCCGAACCGGAGGCCGAACAAACGGGGTTTGAGCAGATGAGGCCAGAGGATCGCGCCCAAGCGCCTATGCATCGCCGATGTTTCATCGGCGACGTCTGCGATGCACTGGCGACGTCGGCGTGGAAAAAATCGGGCTCCACATTGAGCTTCATCGCTGATGCATCGGCGATGCGGCCCGATCTTCCGACCGCATCTGCTCTGGAGCCATTGTGCAGGCATGGACGAACTTTATTCGCTGATGCCGAGCCGAGGTAAAGCGAAGGACGGAGGCAGAGATCGCGCAGGAAGCGTCCCTTCGATTCTGGACCCTCTGAGGGCACATGTCGGGCCCCCTGACGTCCATGATCGATCTGGCGCGAAAAACTGGCCAAGGTGGACCCGGGAAGGGTCTGGGACCGATTTCAAGCGGCTTGCGCTGAGAAGGACGCGGGGAGGCGGTTCGAGGATCGAAGGGGTTCGAAGACCGTGGCGAAGTTTTTCTGGCGTGCTTGGCTTGGGCCACGCGCCAAGCCGGTCACTGGGAAGACGCAGACGTCGGCGGCTCGAGTAAATCGAGGCCCCTGTCCAGCGACGACCTGGGATAGGTCTCTGGGGGTTAGTAAATCGAGGCGACCACTTGTTTGTCATCTTGGGCGCCTTTCAGGGGATGGTCTCGGGGCCCCTGTCCGGCGACGACCTGGGATAGGTCTCTGGGGGCTAGTCGGCTAGTCTTTCACGCGGAAGCCGCTGGATGTCTGAGGACGGGGGGGCGGGCTGACCTTACCTCAATCCCGCACCTACGAGCGGGAGGGCGAAAAGAAATGAGGGGGATGATGAGACAGAGGAGGAGGTGGGAGGTCAGGAGGGGGAGGTCAGGAGGAGAAGGAGGCGGAGGAGGACGAGAAACTACGTACAACAAAAAACGATATATAGAGCGGATGCCATCTCCGCGACGGAAGCTGAGGGGTAAGTGAAACGGAGGAGGCGCCGCAACCACGCCTGCGCAAGGAGACCGCGCGGGCGGCCTTCACGCTTGCGGACGCCATGACAATGGACACCCTGACAAACCTATCATTATTGAATGAAACATCCGTTTAGAATGCTTGGGGAAGATATTCCCAACATGTTTTGAGCATGTGTTGCATGTTCAGCACATGTCTTAAACATGATTTTAGACATCTGGGTATTCTTCGGCAACACGCTTCCTCTCCACTGGTCACCGTCCACAAAGTTACGCGCTACCCAGGCGCAGTCTCTGGAGGCTCGGGACGGCCGCGGCCTGCCCGGCCGCGGCCACGGCCGCGGCCACGGCGGCCCCATGCGGCGGCCAACGCCGGGCGGTGAGCAGCCGCCCCGCCCGCGCGCCCCCCCCGTAGGACGGGAACGGTGTCATGGTAGGAGTGGCTCGGGATGCGCTCCAGGAGTTTCAAGAGGCATCTGGCGGTGCAGCTTTTGCAGAACTCTTAGAAATATGGAGAAACCAAACAGCATCATCATCAGGCACATCATCATCATCATCATCATCATCATCATCATCATCATCATCATCATCATCATCATCATCATCATCATCATCATCACCAGCATCATCATCATCATCATCATCACCATCACCATCATCACCAGCACCAGCACCATCATCATCAAGTACAACAGCAACACCATCGCCATCATCAAAATCATCAACGCCACCATCACCATTCGCATCATCATCTCCGCCATCATCATCAGCAGCATCACCATCATCATCATCAGCATCACCATCATCAGCACCATCGTCGTCATCATCATCGCAGTCGTTATCATCGTCATCAGCATCATCATCTTCTCCGTCGTCACCACCATCTTCATGACTTCTTGCTCCTCCTCCCCGCCCATCTTGGCTGGGCAGCATGGGGGCCCCCTCGCCCGAAGGGGGGGGGGGGGGCGCGCACCCGAAAGGGCGGCCGCCGACGGGGCCGCAACGCGGCGGGCCCCTTTCCCCGCAGGGGCGGCGGCGGCGGGCGGGCTCACGCGGGGCGGGAGGCGCGGCGCAAGGGTCCCTGCTGACCACGCCGCGCGAAAACACGGACCCGGGCCAGGGGCAAGCCCGGGCCAGAGTCAGGCCTCTGCAGATCCTGCAGGATCCCGCGCGCTGGCCAGGGCCAGTGCACCACCCCTGGCTCTGCAGGCTCCTGCGAGAGCCCGGCGCTCTGGCGGACCCCCGTTGGCACTGCCCCCCCCCGTCCCAAGGCTCCCGACGAGCCACGCGGCAGCTCGTCCCGGCAAACCCTGGAAGAACCCCCCGCCCCGACGATCCCCCCCCTGGCGAAACCGACGTCCACCCCCATTCCGACTGCTCCGTTTGGTCGGTCTCGCCGCCGTTGTGTTCGTAGCTTCGTCGCGGCTGGCTCTGCTCTACCGGCCCCTGGAGCCCGTCTGCTTGCCGTTGCTTGCCTTTATGTCGTCCGATGGCGCCCGATACCATTACCGACGTGGAGCCGAGCAGAATCACCGGAATAGCCACGAGCCAGGCCGCCGAGTCGAACCCTGCTCATCCTCTGATGCCTCCTCCTCCGCCTCCGAGTGTAAGCCCCGGGGGCCGTCGAGCTTCCCAGGCCACGACCCAGACTCCGAGCGGGCCGTCGGGCGCAGAATCTGTCGAAGCCGATGCCCGGGAAGCCCGCGCCCTCAAGGCACAGGGGTTGGGACATCACCCTGTGTGTTTCGCCCCACTTTTGTTCTCTGCAGGCGTTGCGCTTCCTACGCCCAGTGCGAGCGGGCGAACCTTGTGAAGGAGGCTGCCAGCCCGCTCGAGCTCGGACGGCGAAGGGTCGACTGACGCGTCTGCGGGAGGGTCGGCGTCTGTCAACGGGAGAGCCCTTGCAAGTTCAGACATGCACGGCGGGAAGGCGTCTTGCGTTTGGACGCCCGAAATGGGTACCGAAAACATGGGTACGATGACCAACAGCAAATATTGTCCCAAAACAACAGCGGCCGCTGTTGGGCAGGCGGCCTTCTGTCTCGAATGGACTCAGGCCGCGGCGGCGCGGACAGCGAGTCTGGTTCAAAATGAACAGGAAATGCTGTTGGGCATTGTACCCACTCTTTCCGTGCCCATGTCCGGCGTCCAGAAAGGCCGTCTTGCGTGGCATTCTACTTTCCATTTGCGTGAGTCCTACGTTCGGGGATGGACAGACCCCCCTTTAGCAAAACGTGGTTCAGCGAAAACGACCCGAGGCCCAAACCTGGCGGGGGCACAAGCCTGGAAAACGACGGCCACGGCGCCCCCTCGAGAACCGAACACGGACAATTCACTCATCGACGTGTCCCTGTTGGGGGCTCTGCCCACCCCCGTTCCCAGATCCCCGACGTCATGATTTTTTCATGACGTCGACCCCCAGAGATCTCGACCCATTCCCCGGGACCGGTTTTTCATCCTGAGTCGTTTTTTGACGGACCCGAGGGCCGGTTAGGGCCTCCAAAGGCCGAAAATTAGGAAAAACCTCCCGTCATGATTTTTTCATTACCCGAGGGGGTCTGGGTTACGTGGCACCATCCTGCACGCACCCGCTCCTGCTGCCTTCGACCGGGGCACCCTGCCCGCCTGCCCACCCGCCCGCTGCACACCGCGGGCCTCCCGCCTGCGCGTGCGCAGGCGGGAGGCCGGCGTGCCCATGTCGGGCGTCCAGAAAGGCCGTCTTGCGTGGCCTGCTGCTTTCCCTTGGCGTGATGCCCTGCGTGGCACCCTCCGGCACGCACCCGCTCCTGCTGCCTTCGACCGGGCGCCCTTCCCCCGCCTGCCCGCCCGCCCCGCTGCACACCGCACGGCCCCGGCCTCCCGCCTGCGCGTGCGCCGTCGCCCGTCCGTCTCGCTCCTCCTCTCTGAAGGGCCCCCAGGACACGCAAATAAATACACACAAATAAACATATTCCCCATATTTTCTTATATTTTCTGGGTTTCTGTCTTCCCCCCCACTTCCCATATTTTCGCATATTTTCTGAGGAATCGAAGAGTACTTGTGTCTGTGTGTTTCTTTTCCTCCTGACTCTCGCCTCCCCCCGCCCGGCAGCGCAGCCTCCCCAGAGCCCGGCGTGGCGGCGCGCGCGCGGGAGCCCAGCCACCCCCGCGATCCGAGGTGCCCTTTTTCTGACGTGGGCCGTCTTAGTTGGGCGTTCCTGCGTCCGCGATGGGCGCCCTGGGAGAGGAGGACGAGGCGGGAGGCAGAGGACTAGGGGTCAGGTCGGGCACGTCCTCATCCAGGGGCATTTTGGGTGAAACATGCAAGCCAGGCAACAACTATCGTCAAACATAGGGGGGGGACAAAAAGTCCCCAGGCTAGTTTCTGACTGGTTGCTTTATTCAAAGATTCCTCCTGCAGAGGGGCATGCCCGACTTAGGCCAGAGGGACGAGGAAAAATGGAGTGGTGGCCACGCACGGTGCTCAGAATCTTCGCGAAATGTTGCGCAGAAGCTTGGTCGTCTTCTGCCTGAAGTGCTCGCCCTTGGTGATGTCTGGGACGACCCAGTCCCGCTGCTCCCACTCTTGTATTGAACGCTGGATGTCTTCCAACGGCACCTGGGCGACGAATGAAAAGGGGCCTTGCGCGCTAAGACGCGGTCACCTCACGCAACGGCCTACGCTGGCCGCTACTGCGGTACCCCGTGTGGGAAAGAGGGCGCTCACGCACGACCTTGCGCGGGCAGTTTGCGCGCAAATGTGGGCACAATCGGCCCCGATCTTTACGTCGTGCACCTGCATTTCGCGCGTCGAATGCGTGAAGGGGTTTCCATCCGTGTGCGTCAGGCGCTGGGTGACCGGCGCGTCGGCATGGATGCGCATCCGCTGGATGTGGCCCGTGAAGCTCGAGCGGTCGGTGCCGACGAAGACCTTCGCGAAAGTGCAGATCACCTCCTCCACAGGGCCCATGAGCTTGAAAAACCTCTCGGGGGTGTACAGCTGCTTGTCCGCGGACAGCACCCCGCCCGTGGCAGCCGTGAAGAGGTCTGGCCACATCACCAGCTTGACGCCGTGGCGCTGGGCGAAGCCGTCGAACTGAGCCTGGCGGTCGGTGGCCACGTACATCGCCGAGGCGTTGGCGATGAGCGGCCTCCAATTCTCGTAGATCTGATCCGGCGTGCGCTGCGACTGCTTCTCCGCGAAGTCGCCGTACCTGGCGTGGAGGGCCACGTAGTCGAAGAGCCCGAGGTACTGGACGGCCTTCGCGGCGATGCTGAAGACGTCCTGTTTGGACGCCCGAAATGGGCACGGAAAGAATGGGCACAATGCCCAACAGCAAATGTTGTCCCAAGCCAACAGCGGCCGCTGTTGGGCGGGCGGCCTTCTGTCTCGAATGGACACAGGCCGCGGCGGCGCGGACAGCGAGGCCTGTTCATAACGAACAAGACCCGCTGTTGGGCATTGTGCCAATTCCTTCCGTGCCGCATGAAGCCGTGGCGCCCCCTCGCGAACCGAAAACGGCCAACTCCTCAATCGACGTGTCAGGGTAGGAAGTCCATCAACCTCCGATCTCTCTGCGCGTGGCCGGGAAAGGCAAGCGGACTTTCGTTGGTGCAGATCCTGGTGCCACACGAAGCCGTGGCGAAGCAGGCCCCAGTCCACCTCCGTCATCTCCGGGCGGACCTCGTCGCGTGGCCCGCCCTGCAGCCACCACTGGCCCATGTCGAACCCCTCCCTGTCCGGCCGTGGGCGCAAGAGTGACCCTGGGCTTATGATGCTCTAACCTACTTTAGCCTTGACTACCAGGAAGAATGTCGAGCGCCCAAACAAATACCGAAACTCAAGGGTTTTCACGAGTCGGGCCCTGGGAGACACTCGCCCGACACTGTTCTGACACTGTTTCGACACTCTTTTGATACTCTTCCGGGTGCTCAAAATTATTTCTGGGATGTGGTCCTTAAGTGGGATGGGAACAACATAACCCTGGGCAAGAGCAGCCCGGGGGAACAGAACATGCCATGGACTTGGAAACTCACAGGTCTGCGCGGATTCCTCGGATCGGCGCTGGACCCCTCCCTTTTTTTGGCGCGCGGAGCGCGCCAGGGACGGCGCTGGAGGCGCCGCCAGGCGCCGCCAGGCGCCGCCAGGCGTGCGGCTCTCGGCGGCCTCGTGGGAGGCCACGTGCAAGCCACCCGGGCGCGACAGCCAGTGCGGGCGGGACCCCCTGTGGGCCCGCGCGAAAAGCAGGCGAACCCAGAAACGAATCGATAAGCCGGATCGGCCATCGAACCGAATCGGATCGGCGGGAATCGGCGCCCAAGTCGGGCAAAGTCGAATCGGCGGAAATCGGCAGACTAGTAGGTCTCCTTTAAGAAATCCGAACCCAGATCGGAATCCGAAGTCGAATCGAATCGAATCGGAAGCCATCGAAGTCGAATCGAGTCGAAGCAATCGAATCTAGCCCTGGGAAGGTCACTCCAGCGAAGGGTCACTCTTACGACGCGCAGCCGGCCTGTTCTCGCCGCTCATGAAGACGAACTTGCCGGCGAGCGCGCTCCAGTCCGACAGGGGGTGGCCGCCCTGAGGTGGCGCCTTCTCCGCTTCGTACCTGGCCTGCTCCCACTTCACGCCCGCCTCGGCCTCGAACTCCTCCACGGTCAGGGTCGGCAGCACGCCCTTGAGCTGCGTCACGTCGATGAGATCCTCCACCCTCGTGGAGCCCGTCCAGTTCGACGTGTCACCCACCAGAGCCTGGTTCCAGGGGCCGAAGTCCAGCAGGTACATGCGAGACTTTGGGGGCAGCACCAGCGTGCGGTTGCTGTGGAAGGCCACGAGGCCGATCATCTCCCAGCCGATGCGGATGTTGTTGAGGCCTCCCGCGTCGGGGCTGAACAGCAGGTACTTCCCGGTGGACGGCAATGCAGACGTCGGCCTCTTCCAGTACTGCATGCGCTGGATCACCGAGGAGGACGATGAGGATGGAGGAGAGGGAGAGAGGCAGAGCGAGAGGAAGAAGAACCAGGCGGAGGTTTGCCGCGACCGTGGACATATCGAACAGAACCACGGTTCGTGCCGCACATCGCGACTGGAGTTCTATGATGCTCCTTTTCCCAAGCAGGGTCGAACCACGAGGGTCCCAGAGTCCAGAACGGGGTGAACAAGCCCCTCGTGACTTTCCCAGTGCGTCCTGATGCCAAGAGGAGGACGAGGAGGAGGAGGAGGAGGAGGAGGAGGAGGAGGAGAAGGAGGAGGAGGGGGAGGAGGAGGAGGAGGAGGAGGAGGAGGAGAGGAGGAGGAGGGAGGAGGAGGAGGAGGAGGAGGAGGAGGGGAAGAAGGAGGAGGAGGAGGAGGAGAAAGAAAAGGAGGAGGAGGAGGAGGAGGACTTACGGGAGGAGGAGGAGGAGGAGGAGGAGGAGGAGGAGGAGGAGGAGGAGAAGAAGGAGGAGGGATGAAGCCTGGTCGTAGCCCAATGCGCTCTGTCGGGGTCGGGAATGGGGTGGCCAAGCCACTGGCGATCTTCTCGGAGGAGGAAGAGGCGGGACGAGGCGTGGCCGTAGCCGACGCAGGGCAGAAGGAGAGGGGCAAGGCCCTGAAGTGACCCTGCACACGGATGTCTCAGCACCATGGGCCCAGCTCCCCGGTGCTACGACCACGGAGCGCCAGGGCGGCTTGCCAAGAGGACTCCTGGACGGAGAAGGCAAGGACGAAGATGAGGAGGAACTGCGCCGATCCAGGACCGCCACGCGAGGGCCGACGGACCTGGCCATACAGTCAACCCGCACAGTCAGGAGGAACGACTTTCCAGGGCTATCCTCGCATCCTTCCCCTTCGGCCCGTCCTTGGCCGCTTTCGCTGGCCGCGCCCCGCCCGCAGAGTCTCAGCATGGCCTTCCAGGGCCCTTGCATGCTTCGGAACAAATTAGCGAATATGTGCCACATTCATCCGTCAACGCTTCCCCCTCCCCCCGATGTTCAAAATTGGCGGTGGGTCTGAGGAGATGCACTTCGACCGCAGTCTCCCCCGCGCGTGCCAACATTGAGTTTGGGGGGGAGGGGGAGTGTTCAGTAATTGTTTCCCTCTACCGTACGACCGCGGAGCGCCAGGGCGGCTTGCCAAGACGACTCCCGGACGGAGAAGACGAGGACGAAGGTGAGGAGGAGCTGCGCCGATCCACGACCGCCACGCGAGGGCCGACAGACCTGAGAATTGCATGTCAAGGGACGTGGCCTTTGTGGGCCCCGGAAACGGCAGCGCGTTTTTTTCACCGTGTCCCAAAACATGTCCATTGAAAATGGCAACGGCAAAAAACGGCGACTGGAAACGGCAAAACAACGGCTCCAGGATTGGAACTGGAGCCGGAACCGGTAACAAAAACGGCGACGGAACTGGTGAAACAACGGCGTCGGAACCAGCAAAAAAACAGGAAAACGGAACCGGTAAAAAAACGGGCCCTGTCGTTTTCAGGGCCCACTAAGGACCTGGCCATACAGTCAACCCGCACAGTCAGGAGGAACGACTTTCCAAGGCGGGCCGACATCGGATAGCCCTTCGACGTCATTGATGGATCTGGCCAGGGGGGAGATCCCTCTGCCGGGGATGGAGCCCCCAACTCGCGGCAGACGGAGGAGGGAGAATGACGCCGAGCCTGGTCGTAGGCCAGGGCCCTCTTCTCGGGGCCCTGGAGCTCGAGGGCACCGCAGCGCCATGCGAGGAGCAGCAGGGGCAGCCATGCCCTCGCCATGGCGAGGCGCCGCCGGCCCCCGCCCCAGAAATCTGCCGACTCCCTGCGGGTTTCTCGGCGTGTGGCATGCCTCGGGGGTCGCTGAATGACTCCCGATCGCTCGGACGTCCATTTCCCGTGCATTCTTCGGTTTCGTGCGTGTTTTTTTTGCTCGATGGTCCAGGATCGTCCTCGATGGTTCTCGCCGAGGACAAATGCACACGTCCGAGCGATGCCAGGATGAGGGGGTGATGAATGGGGGGGGGGAGACAGGCGCACTTCTCGGGCCCGGAAGGCCTGCTCCCCATGCCTTGCCCCCCTTCCGCCACGCACGCTGCCCCTCGAAAAACCCATCCCCTGGGAGCCCGGCCCGGCCAATTTGGACAAGGGGGGGGTGCCCCGACCAACGGCCCGGGCGCGCTCATCTGGTCTCTGGCGGACTCATCTGGGCGCTGGCGGATGCATCTGGCCCTGAAGAGCGAGGCGCGTGCAAGTCGTCCAAGAAAGCTTCATGTTGGGAGACGCTTAAGGGGGGCGATTAATTGGGGGTGGGAGAAAGGTGTACCTCTTGGGTCCTCAAGATCTTCCTTGGGGCCCTAAAGGGCCCTTGCGCCCTACGGTGCCCCTTTTCTGACCCCGTCGCTGCCCCCCAATTCATTGCCCCCCAATTCATCGCCCCCCATAACGCGATGCCCAATCCATGACGGCCCACAAGTGCTCTGGAACGGCCCAAGATGGCTTCCAAGATAGCCCGGATGGCCTCAACACAACCCCAGAGGCTCCCAAGACGGCCAAAGAGAGTCCCCCGAGGACCTCCAAGAAGGCGCCAAAAGGCAAGCATCATTGATTATCCTCTGGCTTTTCTGAACTTTTGATGTGCTCGCCTTTTCGATCTCCAGGGTGACTAAGACAATCCAAGAAGGCCTCAAGGACGCCCCAAGACGGTCCAGTAAGCTGCCAAAACGGCCCATCGGGGTCCCAAGATGACCCGAGCGAATCCCGAGACTGCCCACGATACCCCCACGAGGGGGAACTCGAAGGGGCCCAAGGGGGCCCCCCACCCACAAAATGGTTCCCCAAATGCCCCTAAGAGAACCCCAGGAGGCTTTTAACAGGCCACCAACATGCCGTCCAAAGGCACCCAAGAGGTCCCAAACGGGGGGCCCCAAATAACCTTACAGATGGACGCACGTCGCCACGATGCTTCTACGACAGCGGCCCCTGGAAGAGAGGCACCCAGGGGGCTCCCAAAGATGTCGGCGGTGCGGCGAAAGCTACTAAATCTGTAATGCACGTTCGGTACGCGGGTCCACGCGCGCCAGCCTGGGAGGCTTGAGCCGAAACGTGGACGGAGGAGGACTGCAAGGAAGGCCAGGGCCTGGATTTGTTCTGTTATCACTTCTTGTGCACGGGTTGGGGCATTGCTCCCACACCCTTTTGCATGCACATTGCCAGCAATCAATCTGGCTCAGAAGGGTCCGGCAAGGGATGTGACGCTTGCAATCGTTAGCCCGATACTGACACCCAACTATATCAACTTGCTTTGATCGGCTAGGTTGCCTTAACTTGATCGAGGTTGGAGGTGGATGGTCGAGGATCTGCGCGGGCAGCCTCGCCCTCGCCATCGCAGTGCTGAGGCTCTCGAGACCGACCTCAAGACGATGCTGACTCGGAGATCCTCTCGAGAGCTGTCTCGGCGGCTTCCCGGCGAGCCCTTCGGGGCCTTTCAAACTTTCAAGGCCATCCTGAGGCACTCCAGGAGCGATTCCAGGACGATGCTGATTCAGATACGCCTCCGAAGCCAATATGTGGACGATGTCGCGAACGGAACTGCCGTTTCGAGGGAACCTAGCCGGACAAGAACAGGTAAGGTCTCGTTTGTCCATAGGGGTCGTTAGGGGTTGTACGTCGTGTTGATCTGCAGCACTGGTCGGTTGAGAAGTGCGTGAGCTTGCGCGTGCGTGTGCGTAGTGTGTATGTGTGCGCGCGCGTGTGTAGGTGTGTGTAGTGTGTACATGAGTGTGAACGTTGTGCTGCGTGCATGATTAGTTGCATGTGCATGCGCGCTTGAGCATTCCGTGTGCGTGTGCGTCGTTTATAGGATTGTGTACCTTGTGCTGCGCGATGTGAGTTGTATGGTATAACAAACATCCAGGTATGTAGATACTGTTGCACACATCTATGTAGGTGTATACTAGAACCACCCGCGCGCTTCGCGCGCTTAGGTTCTAGCAAGAGCCAACTCCCGATACAGTCACAGCTACGCGCGTGGACGTATGTACCCAGAATTTGCATGAGCTTGAGTGGGCGACGTGGCCAAACCTGAGATGTTGGCATGCATCTTCGGAGCCTCATGTCCGCTTGGAGCCCTCCAAAAGCGTCTGGGGCCATCTTGCAAGCATCTGGGAGCCATATTGGGCCGTCTTGTCCTGTCTGAAGCACGTCTTCGGCGTCTCAGGGGTACTTTGGCGCCGACTTGAAGCCTTGAGCTGCCATCGCAACCCATATTTGGTTCACACAGGCATCCCGAAACGCCCAACACTGGGTACAGGTGGAGGTGGGGCCGCCTGGCGGAGCCACATCAAGGCGTGGTGGTGGCGACGGCGACGACGACGACGACGACGGTCTCCTGGGCTAGAGATCGTCGGCGTAGTCGTCGCCGTTTGTCGCCTGTCGTTATCCACTCCCGCCCACGCACACCCTGGCGCGCGGGCTGCGGCGGCGCTGGGTCCTGGCTGCCCCTCTTCACCCTTCTCCTCCCATGGTCGTCCTCCGCCTCCTGCTCCTCCTGGTCCTCCCGCTCCTCCTCTTCCCCCAGTTCCCTCTGTCCTCTACCTCCGACTGCTTGAGATTTTCTAGTCGCAGGCATTCCCCGTTGTGGACGACGAAGACGGCGACGAAGACGTGGACGACGATGACACGGACGAGGAGGAGGAGGAGGAGTAGGAGGAGCGGGAGGAGGAGGAGAAGGACGAGGAGGAGTATGTATAGTTCCATGTAAGGGTTATCTTGTTGAATATTGTGGCGTGTACTTTTGGTGCAATTCTGGTTTTTTGGGGGCCCTCTTCGGCTTTCCTTGGGCCGTCCAGGAAGTGTCGCGGGACAGCTCGGTACTGTCGTGGCTGTCAAGAGGTAAACGTGCGAGATCTTTGAGCCGCTCTGATACTCTCTTGGGGATTATCTTTTGGGACTCTCGTGTGGCTCGCTTGGGGATGGCCTGGGACCAAATGTCAAAAGGCTGGGGAAGGGGAGAGTGACCACCGTGCCCTGGCTCTCGGTCAGAAGCCTCTTGGATGCATGTTCAGGTCTTTCGGAAATCCTCTGGGGAATGTCTTGGAAGCAGTGTTGAAGCCTCTTGGGCCTCTGAAGGGCCGTTTGGGGGCCTCGTCGACGTTTTTTTGGGCGTCCTGGGGCCATCTTGAGGGCTTCTTGGGGACCTGCTGGCAATCTCGGGGCCCCTTTGGGGCGGAGAGCTCGCAATGTGAGTTCGAATCCTCCTGCTTGGGTCGTCTTGAGCACGTGGGCCGTCTTCTGCCTCTCTTGGGCAGCTTTGATGCCTCGTTGGGGGCCTATTCGGTAGTCTTGGTTCGATCTTGGGGAAGCAGTTCGGACGTCTTCGACGCTGTGAAAACCAAAATGGCGAATGTGCTAACTTTACATGTTTTCCTCTGGGGATGAGACGATTTCGGCGTCCGGGGTCCCTCTTCGGGGGGATCTCGGAGCTCTCTTGGGCCTTCTGGGGAGGGCTGTTGGCCGTCTTGAAATCATTTGAACGGTTTTGGAATGCTCTCGAGGCGCTCTCGGGTCGATTTGGAGACCTCTTGTGCTGTCTGGAAGCCATCGTGGGTGTTCTTGGGAGGCTATGGGTGTCGAAAACGGGTCCCGGCCCCGGGGGCCAAATTCGGTTGCCCAAGGTGTGGCTCCATGTGTCATTGTGTGCCAGGGGGGGGGGGGCAACACTCCGACAATACATACATATCTAGATCTGTACAGACAGAAGTATTCTATATCATGTATACGTGCATATCTATATGCATACATGCATACATACATGCATGCATGCATACATGCACACACACCTACATGCACACATACATACAAACACATACATGTATACATACATACATACATACATTCGTACATGAATACATGCATGTATGCGTCCATCCATCAATCCATCCAGCCATAACTACATACATGTATACATCCATCCATCCATCCATTCATACAAACAACTGCGTACATACATACCTACATGCATACACACACTCACTCATGTGCACACCCATGTATGAAGACATGCGACGACGTGTACAAGCCTAAATGCATACATACATGCACACCCACATACATACATGCCCACCCACCTACATACATACATACATACGCATGCATCCATGCATTCATACAAACAGACACATTTACATGCACACGTGCACATAGGCATGCATACATTCACACGCACATACACACGTCCACACATACACGCATACATACATACATACATACATACATACATACATACATACATACATACATACATACATACATACATGCATGCATGCATACACATATATACATACATACACACATATATATACACACACGTACCCACCTGCATGACTATGTGCATGCGTGTATACATACATACATGCATGCATACATACATACATACACACATACATACAGGCATACAGCCATACATACACACATACATACGTACGAGTGATGTACGTGTCGCATGTCCGGTGTGTGCGCTGTCTGAGCATGTCGCGCAATGTCTGGGGTGTGTTGTGTGCTGTGCGCCTATTGCGGCGAATTGTGCGAAGTATGTGCTGTGCGTCGCGGGCTGTGTGATTGAGCCGACGAGAGGCTATCCTCAAGGCTTCCCGTGTCGTCTTCAGGGCCACCGGGAGCGTTGGCTATACCGGGCGCTCTCAGGCTCTCTCGGGCCATGTGGAAGGGTCCTCTCGGGAGCCTTTGGGAGATGCTCTCGGCCGTTTTTTTTGT